GAGGGTAAGGAGGCTGGCGGCTCAGCGGTGTTCGCGCCAATAAGTGTCCGTTTTCAGTTCCATAATTTGGGCGCTGAACACCGCTGGCTGTGCGGGAGGTAAAATGGCCGCTGCCACGTGTTCGGCAGACGAACAAAGGCCACCCAGCGTTCATCAATTAAGCTGCGGTTAACCGCAGCTTCTGGGCGGTCAATTGACGGCACACTCCAGCTCCCAGGTGGTCCATCGTTCGGTAGTTTGTTCAGTAGATGGAATATACCGAACACCCTGGCAGAAAGGCACAAATAAACCATTCAGCAGGGAAAATAACAGGTCTGAACTGCAGGGCCATAGTCTAAAGGGAGCAGACGAGCAACCAGGCTTCTCCAGTGTACAGTGGCCTGGTTGGTTTCGCCACACAGAGTATTCTACCGAGAGGGGAGAGCCTCATTCCCCTTCCCCAGCGGCAGCCTAGCCCACCAAGGGGAGATGATAAGCCCCACATCGGTGCAGATGGAACAGTGGTCTCTGTGCCCAAACCACAGGGGGTAGGGACGGCCAGTCCTGTCCCTCAGCAGCAGGGCTTTTTATCCAAAGGGGAGACAGCCTGTCTTTCCCTACAGCAGCAACACCAAGTCCAGAGGGAGGAACCTACTACCCCTTCTCCGCAGCTGGGCTCCAACCAGGCTACTCCCGTGGTAGCGCTGGCACCAGGGCAGAGTACCGCTGGTCTCTGCCCACTCAGCAACCCACCGATCCGGAGGGCTAGTAAACCCCAGAGCCGTGGTGGAGCCCCTGGACATGGACAAGCTATGAACTACCCCAGGTGCAGTATCCACATTTTGTGGGTGGGCCACTCTGTTGATTATGTGTGGTGGGTGGGTTGCTAGACTAACCAGGGCACTGACCGACAGGAGGTCAGATACCCTGTTAGTCTGATTGGTAAAGGGGAGAAATGTGGTGGAACCAACCTCGCCACTGGCCACTGGAGGAGGCTGGTCGCCTGCCTCCTGCCGCGGACTATGGCCCTGTGTTTAACACGGTTCTTTTTCCTTGCAGAAAGGCTGGTTTGTGCCTTTTTGCGGACTGTTAAAGTCACAAACACTGCTGAGCCGCCGACCTCCCTTCTCCTACCTGCAGTCAATTATCCGAACACCGGTCCATTCGGTACTTTACTGTTTAAACCATGCTACCCCAGATAGCTATGCCATGGAGCCCAGCCGTATACTGAAAGACTGTATGAAAGACTTTGGCTCCATGGCGATTGAACTGTATGTATGTGATCTGAGCACCATCCGGTAATAATGTGCGCTCAGATCGAAGCTATCGGGGGATAGGTAGAATGTGTATGTTCTATGTGATAACTGTAACAGTATGTATATTTATGTCTTTTATTGACCTTTGTCTGCCATGTGGTTAATGGAGTTTTGTCTCTGTCCTTGGAGATAATTGCATTACTTCCCAATTATCTCCAGGACAGAGAGGAGGGATTGTGATGCATTGTGGGATTGTAAGCTTGTGATTGGTCAATGTCCAAAATGTTTCCCAGTCTTCCACCTGGTCCCCTAGGGGAATGTCCACCAGGTGGGAGACCTGCATAAAAGCCGAGCAGGTAGCCCCAGTAAATCAGTTCTACTTCACCCTCAATTTGGAGTGCCGTCTCTTATTGGGGGAATCTTCTACAAGAGATTGCTATGCTCTGCATACTCTCATGCTATATTTACTGCTAAGTGCTTGTTCCTGTCCTGCTCTCTGAGAGTCCACGGTGGTTATGGTGTCTGCTGGAGTGCTTAGAGCCCTCAGGAAGCGCTAGGAGCATCCTTCAAATCAGGTACCCAGTCGGGGTGCCCGTCGATCAGTTACAAGTGGCATGGTGCTGGGCAGTCAGTACAGAGCGGCGGGAATGCTAGGCGTCAGTACAGAGTGGCATGGTGCTGGGCAGTTAGTACAGAGCGTCAGGAAGCTGGGTGTCAGTACAGAGTGGCATGGTGCTGGGCAGTCAGTACAAAGTGGTATGGTGCTGGGCAGTTAGTACAGAGCGGCGGGAAGCTGGGCAGTCAGTACAGAGTGGAGGGAAGCTGGGCACTCAGTAGAGAGACTGATTGCTACAGCTCCCCACAGAGGACGAGGTTCCCCTCTAGCATTCCCATCAAAGGTAAGAAAAGAGAGACTTGTTAAGCACCACTGTCTCTAATATATATATAGGTTTCCATGTGTTTATCTAAATGTATGTGTACTCCACCCCGCACTAGCTGACCCCAGAAGAGTCCCTTTAGACGTGGGACTGTACATAACAAGTCAAATGGCGCCAACACCCTCCAACCTGGTGAACCTTCTCTACTACTTTCTTCTTCTCTCTATCTTCATCTCTCTCTTCAAATTACCCACCGGTGGGACACTTGGCACATTAGCCAACATTGAGAGTTATAAACAAGCATGGTGGGACCCATCACTGCCTAGAGACAACCATAGAGGAGACGGGGGCCACAAGTCCCACTGGAGGGGTAGACAGTGTGGCAAAACTGGCCACTTAAGACTATCCATATATGAATATGTTTATATCCCTGTTTCAGGGGTGAGAACCAAGGGTATTGCTATATTTTTATTTCAGGCGAATGAAGGGCATTTGTATGCTGGCGGCATGAAAACCCCAGCATTCACACTGTAGTTTCACGAACAGTGAGTTTCAACACTGTTCGTGAAACGAATAAACTACCGAAACGACGACCACACACAGGAGGTCATGTGGCGCCCATTAACTGATTGCAACATTGTTGCAATCGGTAGTTAAAAGCTTTCCCAGGTGGCGGTCGTTCGGCTACCGACCACGCGGCGGTCGGCCATCTTGGTTCCTTTGTTAGCCCAGCAGTGTTTTGTCGTCGAGCGCCTGGAACTAAAATCGGCTACTCTACGGCGCGAACACCGCTGGACTTCCAGGCCGTTTGGGAGCCCCGGGCGTTCGTAGTTTGTTCCCCTAATACCAATCGGTACTTTAACAGTGATTTGGAAATAATGTGTATTTCGTACGGCGTTCGGTTAGTAAGGCTTGGAGCTGAGTGGTATTCTCATGAACTGTGCGCTCAGACTCCAGCTATCTACCGAACGTCCATTCGTTTAAATAAAGGGAATATAATGGAAGTTATGTATTTTAATGTGAAATGTAAGTTCTGCTGCACGGAGGGATAATCCATTTAACGGTATATTCTAGTGGGAGTTTCTCTCTTGTACAGCAGTGCCTGGTGGGAGAAATGTATGTGTTGTTCAGTTCCCCATGTAGTCCCCTACTGTACCACCCCTGGAATGTCAGTAGGGAAACCCCTTGCATGGGGAATCCCATAAATACTGTGACCTGTGATTAAAAGCTCAGTTGACTCCCAGCCTGTGTGTCATCTAGTTCTTGGGAAGGAAAGATTCTTATAACGCTACCAGAATTATTGTATGCTGTATTTATTTCCTTGGATTATTTTATGCTGTTCCTGTTACCCAGCGGAGATACTGTGGATTATACTACCTCTCCGCTACAGTTACATCAGTTTTTGTAAACAATGTTGCATGGGCTGGTTGTTAAGTCTACGGACCAACACAAAATTTGAATACCACATGGTATAAATGTAAAAATGAAAGCAACTTGACAAACCGGAATGCCGAGCTATTCACGATTGAAAAGAACCACGCTATGTATAAACATCATGTAATGTAACAGACATAACGCATTACTGGCAATGTTTACTGTATGCTCTATAAATGTCAAATACTTTTCTCAAAGATAAAGTATTTGAAAAAAAAAAAAAAATGTATCTGTACATAAACATAAGTACATGAATATGAACGTGTGTATGAATGTCGGTATATCTACTTGAAAGAACACCCAAACAATAAGCAAAGTTCATACGTTTTTCAGATCTCTTCACATTGGAGCTCATGAATTCCACTCCTGCTGGGCAGGGTTTCCAAACCCAGTATGAGAGAATGCAGACATGGTGACCTAGCAGGCCCAAGAAGTTCTACTCACCTGAGTACCTTCTTCATTTCTTAGTGTCACAATCAACTTTTCTTCAACTCCCAGCAACGTAGTGTATATTATAGGAAAGAGTGAGAACTTTCAGTAACCATTTTATACATAAAGGCAAACACATTATGAAACAATTACACTATTCTCATACAAACAGTTAAGGATAACCTGTGCAAGGACGATAAATGTTTACAATGCTTGGAGGTTCCCTTTAAGTAAATGGAAATCAGCAAAGCATGTCCACCTTATTGAATGGGGCATTACCATGAATGTGACCTCCATAATATGAGGAACAGGCTTAGTTGTTATCACTAAGCCGCTTCCTGGTGGGAGGGAAATCCAAAACAATCAATCCAAAATAGAATGGTTTCACCTGAGCTGGGGTAAGTGGAGGTATTTATTGACCCACACAGATTCAGTTCACAACAGGCTAAATAGGTGCAAATATCTCTCTATTACGTACAAATATGGGTCAGGTGGCACATAACATCCCACCATGTTAAATAAAACCTGTGATGCCACTTTGTATGGAGGAGTACACTATACAGGTGCAATCCCAAGTTGCTGTATGTGCTAAATTAAATGGCTTGTGTTGTAGCACTAAAACATGGGACTTGTTATCCACAAACGCATACAAATATTAGTGAATGTTAAATTCCAATTTTGAACGTTACAAGAATATTTTTAATAAATGTAGTTCCATCTTAAGGCTATATATGGCTCTCAATTTATTTATTTTGAGGGTGTGTGTTTTATAGAACGGTTTTAAGAAAATATCCAATTCCACCTTTGTAGTAACCTATCAAACTCTTTTTACTACCTACAAGTGTGTGGTGCCTATCATCTATGCTGGATATTCAGGCCATCGTGTAACCTTCAGAGATCCAAAGGAGCACACTTTCCTCCACTCTCCCACGTTGATGCCAAAGAACAAATAACAGAGAAGCAAAGAAAGTTAAACACCGGTCATTTTGGCTTTGTTTGTTGTTTTTTTTTGCACAGAATTTAACACCTCGAGTGCACACTCTTGCCATCTCATAGGCCGCCTTCTGGCTGCCATTTCATATAGATCTTTTGTGTGCAGACTACATAATAATCTCGTTGGGAAAATGTATCGTATCACTGAACAAAGAAAAGAGCTACTTCAAGGACACCTACTGAATTATATGATAAAAGCATATGCAGGCAGAAAATGTCTTAATTATTTACAGTAAGAACAATGTATATATCATCTTCAGCTGCTAGAATCTCCTTACCACATATCTCAGTGAATGACCCCACAGTAAAGTACTGTTAACACAGGGCACCAGAGAGCTGTATTTATTTGTATAATATTTACCATAAGCTCTATGTTGCTAAGGTAAACACATGCAACTGTTCTACCATGCTTCTCAACTAAAATCTTCCATTCTCCTTTTTAATTTTGCAGCCCACCACTACTCCCCCAGGTTGATATTGTTGTAAACTGTTCAAAATCGCAACACAGATTATATTTCCAGCATATTGAGTAATTTAATACATTACTGCATCTCACTAACCTTTGCAGCTGACATTTTTTGCGTGGTTTGTGGTCTTAAATTATTTTGAAGGCCATATCATTTAGTAATCTTATGTAATCGCCATCTAGAGTAATAGTTGCATTTTTATTGCCCAAATGCCGCCACCCCAATCCCTTACCCCGATGTAGCTTTGTGTGATGCAATTATAGATTTACTGGATGTCAGAGCCAGTGTAATAGTAAAAAACATTTATTGAACAGGTCCTCCTGTGTGAATCATCTGATGTGAAATGAGGTTTGATTTATCTGTAAAAAATGCCCCGCATTCATAACAGAAAAATAATTTCTCTCCTGCATGACTCTTTAAATGTGCATTAAGACTTGAGAGCCAACGGAAGCATTTTCCACATTTGGAACAAGAAAAAGGCTTCTCTCCCGTATGACTCCTCATATGAATATACAGACTAGGCAACCAACTAAAACATTTCCCACAGACAGAACATGAAAATGGTTTCTCTCCTGTGTGAACCCTCTGATGCCTATTAAGAGAGGATTTTTCACTGAAACATTTCCCACATTCAGAACATGAAAATGGTTTCTCTCCTGTGTGGCTCCTCAGATGTGACTTTAGAGTACTCTGTAATTTGAAATACTTTCCACAAACAGTACAAGAAAAACTCTGTTTTTTGGCATGAATGAGTTGATGCTGAATGAGATATTTGCTCTTAAAAAAGCATTTCCCACATTCAGAGCAGGAGAGTGATTTCTCTTCTTGGTAAGTCCTGTGAGGTTGGAGAAGATGTGATTTCTGATTAAAACATGAATGTCCAATGAAATCTGCTTCACATGTGAAATTTATCCCACATTCAGAACAAGACCGTTTATTTCCTTTAGGTTGATTCTGATGTTTATTAAGATGCAAATTGGAAGCGGACATCTCACAATCCCCAAAGCTATTACAGATCTTATCCATGGTGTATTGTCTTTGATGTAGTACTTTCATGTTCTTCCCTTGTTGTGTGCTACCACTGGCAATGTTATGGACATCAATACAATAAGTATGGGGCTGAATGTCTGCAAGATTTCCTGCTTCCCAAAAGGCAGATTCATCCTTAATCCGAGGAGGCTGATATGCTCTCTGTGTATGTTCAGGGAGAATATACCTTTCAGTATCTGTGAGAGTTCCTTCCTCCCATGGTTCCTCCTTAATATGAGCAGGTGGATATTCTGTCTGTGTATGTTCTTTAGGTGTATAAAGGTCCACATCAGGGAAATATCCTTCTTCACATGAGGTTGATTTCTTTTCAAGACAAGAAGAATATTCTGTCTGTGCGTGTTTTGTTTTTTCATAACTATCACAGTCTGGAAGATTTCCTTCTTCACATGAGTCTGATTTTTCTTCAATACACGTAGACAGATATTCACTGTGTGTATGTTCTGTGGGTGTGTAAATGTCAGTGTCGGTGAGATTTCCTGGTTCAGAGGTGGCTAATTCTTTCTTAATATGACTAGATGGATATTCGGTCTGTTTAGGTTCCTTGTGTGAGCATATTTTGCCATCCCTTAATGTCCTTTCTTCATATAAGTCATCATCATGTTTCACAGCTTTACTCTTGATTGTGTTTAGTACATTTCTTTTCTGATTATTTGTAACGTTATTATCATTGGTTGTACAATTAGGTGGAGAAACAGGAGTGTGAAATTTACCAACTTCAGATGTCACAGGATCATCTAAAAAAAAATCAAATGGAGAGATAGAATGGGTTCTTAATGCACACTAAGAGTTGGATAACACACACACAGTTCACCTACCAATACGGACATTGGAAAGTACAACTAAGAACACATTAATGTACGTAGATATAGGAACAAATACTTCCTGCATTATTCACTAAAGTGTGAACCTTGAGGAATTTATAGTAAAATTAAACTCAATTTCAAGTCTCCAGTCAAAAGTCATTATGAAAACAAAGTAAATGAAGAAAATATTTAGAGATATAATCAGATTTGAAATTATCTTTACAGTCTCAACAGTTCATTCTTTAGTAAATATGCCTGTTAAAGCTCATGTTCCAGTTAAATAATGCAGGATGATTTTAGAAGGACACACTGCACACTGAGTAGGGGGTGTTTTGAGGGTGTGTGCACACTTCCGAGGGGTCATACTATGTACCCCCTTCCTTTATTTATAGCAATAATCTGGAAGAGTTACTTTATCCATCCTATCATACCAATTAAAGGGTTACTCCAACCTTTTTTTACTATTATATTTCTGTTTTTATAATGTCTTATTGAACATTTGGTCCTCCCACGTTTTATTAAAGGAACACAAACATGTATTTCTGACCCTATAGTGTTAAAGCCATCATCTAGCTCCCCTGGCATCCCTAAATAAAGTAAAAATCATACTTTTATGCCAGTCTGCTGCTGCTGCCACTGCCTCTGATCTGCCTGCTTGGCTCAGCCAATCACAATGCTTCCCAATTGGAGGCAGATCAGGGACAGAGCCAGCACTAGCCAAACACAGCCTTGGCCACTCAGCATCTCCTCATAGAGATGCATTGAATCAATTTATCTCTATGAGGAATGTTCAGTGGAACCATGCAGAAGGTGGAGACACTGTATGGCAGTACTGCACACTGTGCAGCACTGCCCCAAGAAGCACCTCTAGTAGTCATCCAAGGAGTGGCCAGTGAAGTTATAGACTGTAATGTAAACAATGCGTTTCTCTGAAAAGACCATGTTTACTGCAAAAAAGCCTGAAGGTAATGATTCTACTCACCAGAACAAATTCAATAATCTGTAGTTGTTCTGGTGATTATAGTGCCCCTTCAAAGTGGCTCTCCAAAATACCTTTCTCATATTGTTCTCTTCCACTTTCAGAATATGTGCTTCTTTGCTTCATTTCTGTCTTTTCTTTTTAAAACGAAGTAGGGACTACTTTCCTTTACCTATTTTTCCTACGTCTGACAAATGTTCTCAAAGGGTGGAGTTTAAGGCAAGCTACACTTCCTTTGTTACAGTGACAAGATGGCCAGGAACATGGAGCTTGCTTTAAATTCCACGCTTTGTCCAGATTTGACAGGAAGTAGTCCCTACTTTGTCTTGGGTTTTAAAAAGAAATCAGAAATTAAGAACATTAAACAATAGGAGAAAGGCGAGAGTGAGGTGACAGGCCATACACACACAAGCAAGCAAACATTTAGCAGCCCAAAGCTTTGTAAAGAATTTAGTGGAGGCCCCATTCATTCTTTGTATCAAAGACAAACATTTGAAATATTGAAAGGCTTTGTCCCCCAAAGTTAAATGTAAAATGATGGGTTTTCCATTTAGTTAAACAAGGGCTCTACTGTGTCTCTAGAAAGATCGGAGTAATCAGAGGTGGAGCATATGTTTAACCTCCCTGGAAGAAAGTTCAAGTAATTTACTGAAATCACAAAGTTGTATTTTTATTGCATGGTTTTGTCTGTGAATGTACATTGGCAAATTTATCTTGCTAACTAATTTCTTATCGTTTCAATGCTACACACATGCATGCACACATTCTCTCTCTGCTAAACCTTCACTTACCCGGTGAGCTGAGAGGTTGGGGAGTCTGCACCACCATGTCTATGTACGGTTCCTTGTGTTTTTCAAAGTATTCCCACACCTACAAGAAAAGCAGACAGTTTTTGGTTATTATTAGCATTTATACAGTGGCAACTTATTCCACAGCGTGTTGACATCCTCACAGCCAACAGGAACCTGACACACACTAGGATACAGTCACCATCCAGACACATCCCTTGGTTTTACTCTATGATGTCCCATTCCCAGCAGCCTCACCTCTCCAGTCAGCAGGTGGATGATCTGATTGGTCAGTTTCAGGACCTTCTGCTCATTGTTTCCATCATGTATCAGTGAGTGAGGGGGAGGCACCGTGCTGGTGTTCGGGGTTCTGTTCGATCCATCAGACACACAGGGGCTGTTACTCTGTAGTATGGAATCAGCAGGCCTCTTTACAACAATATAATCCTACATAATGAATGGAGGTTAATGGGCATCAATGGAGTTAGATAAAGACACACTACAAATAAGAATTAACATTTATTTAGTGTTTCACTTCGTGAAATTTAAAGTATTCTGTTAAAAGAGTTAGCCCTCACTGACATGGTTATTTAGTAAAGAAGGGTGTAACGGATCACCTGGCACCCCGACTGGGTACCTCCGTTGAAGTAGGCTCCTAGCGCTTCCTGAGGACTCCAAGCACTGCAGCAGACACCACAACCACCGAACCGGAGAAGCATATGAATGCTCTCAAGCATATGAATGCTGTAAGCAGCTGAACAGGAAAAGCATACAATCAGCTTACACTCCTGGCAATCAGCATAAATCCAATTCCCCCAATAACGAGACGACACTTCGTTTTGAGGTCAAGCAGAACTGACTGGACTGGCACATACAGCCTCTTTTATTCTCAATCCACAAATTTAGTACTGACCACAGGGTTTTACAGAACAACCAATAACACACGTACATTACAGAAAGAAACTCCCACACAAAATCCTCCCCTCTGCCTGTGATACAATTACCTTACACAATGGGTAATGTAATTATCACAAACAGAGAAATACCGTTTTTCCACATTATTCATAAGTTTAAAAGTATGCATCATTCACATAAAACTTACATTTTCAGAATCAGCATACTCCAAATACAAACATATGTCAAAATCATACAAATTGGTCAAGTGGTTCAAAAGATAGATCGTAGTCCTTTGTAACCAAATGAAGCATGGCTTTTTTGCCCAAAACCAGTTACACAGAGTCTTCTACCCTGGAGATAATTGGGAAGTAATCCAATTATCTCCAAGGACAGAGGCAAAACTCCATTGAACACATGGCAGCAAAAGACAATAAAACACATACAAATATATAACTGTGCAGCCATTGCCAAAACAGGTACATTCAACATATCCCCAGATAGCTCAGATCTGAGCGCACATTATTACTGAATGGCGCTCGGAGCACACACATACAGTTCAATTGCCATGGAGCCAAAGTCTTTCCCATAGTATTTCATTATACGAATGGGCTCCATGGCATAGCTATCTGGGGTATCACTGCTCAAACAGGGCAAGCACCGAATGACCCGGCTTTCGTGTCTTCGCAGGGGAAAATCAAGCGTTTCAACATGGGGCCATAGTCTAAAGGCAGCAGGCGGGCAACCAGGCTTCTCCAGTGCATAGTGGCGAGGTTGGTTCCGCCACACATATACTGACAGGTACACACAGCCACTAACACACAGCCACTAACACACATTGGCACACAGATTTACACACACTGATACAGGCACACACACATACACAGATTCACACACATTGGCAGATACACACATGTTTAAATTTGCTGTTCACTTACCTTTTTTCTGCAGGAGGGTTTTCAGTGCTGCTGGCTGAGGTTGGTGTGCTGTTCAGTCCCTGCTGCTCCCTCTCTACCTCCCGGTGGCGTGCTCTGTCTGGGAGGAAGTGACATCACTTCCTCCCAGCATCCAATACTACAGGGATCCAATCGCAATCACCACTATATGCTTGGTCCACCCGATGGGCAAATCGCCACGGAACCCCAATTTTGTTCTTGCGGAACCTTATGGTTCCGCGGAATACCAATTGGGAAATGCTGTACTAAAGTGTTGTTAGGAAATCAAAGATCAAAATCAAAAACAGAATTAAGGGATGGAGTTAAATAGCGCTTGGGATGTATGATAGTAAAGGTAGAAAGGTTTCTGTATTTGTAGAAACCTGATTTTGTCTTTTCTCAGTCTTGCTTCGTTATTTTGAATGTAGTTGTCCCGAGCAAACTACAGTTCCATTATACATTTTTTTTAATAAAAGTAATTGGTCACATTCCCAGAATCCCTCACCTCTCCAGTCAGCAGAAAGTTGACCTCCAGCGTCAGATCCAGGATCCTCTCCGTCATCTGATTCCGGTTTGTCATCATTCAGCCAATCAGGCAGCCTGAGAACAGGCTCTGGGGTTGTGGACAGGAATTAGAATATTCTGTAACGACAGAAATATATTGTAGTCAATTACACTTTACACCTAAAATCTTTAATGACGCAAAAAAATGTCAGTAAGTCCTAAGTATAGTGGGCTTCGATGAAGTTAGCAATTAATCAAGACCTGGGGCTCCCCTCTGTCATCTGAGGCTGTTTTTCAAGGCCAAGCACCATAACCATGTTTTATTTTTCCTAGGACTAGCCCATATGATGATTACATTAAGCTTACTGTGACAACTCAAAACTACAAATACTCAAATTACTTTAGGCAACATACAGGAATTTATAACATAATTACATATTTATAAAGGGGCGGGAAAGACAATAATTAACACAAACCATCTCTCCTGCTTGCAGAAATAGCAATATGCAAATCATTCGAATGCAGTCAGCGGTGTGTGCCGTCAAACTCATGGAACTAATCGGCTACAGAACGGCACGAACACCGGTGAAGTTTTACCTTCCCTGGAACTAATGCATTCGACAGTTCATTCGACAATTCGAATGGTTGTCGTTCGTCTGTTTGAACTGACTTTAACATGGGAAATAGACCGGCCGCACAGCCTGATTCTCTGGAACTGTTTTGGGCAGGAAAATGTGACATATCTATCTCCCGAATGGCTGAACGGATTTGAATGATTGGATGTATAGTTTTAGAGTCAAAAAGGTAAAAAGTATGTTTTAAACTAAACAGCTGATTGTGTTACCTCTCAGGCTAAGGGGAGGAGATGTGTGGCATGTAACCAGTGTGTGATTGGGTAATTCATAATTGTCTGTGGGCGTCTTCCTTGCACGGGAGAATTGCATAAAAGCAGAGTGTGTGTCATTACAATCCTCAGTTCTTCTTCACCCTCAGTCTGAGACCCGTCTCTTATTGGGGGAATCTGCTACAATGGATTACTAGGCTCGTCATACTCTCTTGCTATAATCACTGAGCTCTTGTAAGAGCTGTTCTGTTCCTGTTACGCTCTCTGGGGAAAGAGAGGTTCACCCACTGGGAGCTGGATCCTGACCTTGGGTCCAGGGTGGGTGGAGAGGACAAGACACTGGCACAGCTGCATCACTGGAAGTGGGGTCTGCAGTGCTGATGGTGTCGGTTGGAGTGCTTGGAGTCCTCAGCGAGCACTAGGAGCATTGATTGGCGGAGGTACTCAGTCGGAGTGCCAGCAATCCATCACAGTATATTATATAATGACTATATACAGGGTGTGCGCATTAAATAATGACTATATACAGGGTGTGCGCATTATATAGTGACTATATACAGGGTGTGCGCATTATATAGTGACTATATACAGGGTGTGCGCTTTATACAGTGACTATATACAGGGTGTATATGAGAAAGCTGCAAATCGAGGTAACACGTTAATTATTGGAGATTTTAATTATCCAGACATAAATTGGGAAAGAGGGACTAGTACTTCAGCAAGGGGAATCAGGTTTTTGAATGTGTTAAATGACACCTTTATGTCACAACTGGTACAAGCACCAACTAGACAGGATGCTTGTCTGGATCTTGTCATAACAAACAATGTTGATCTCTTAACAAACATTCAAGTAGGGGAGCATTTGGGAAATAGTGATCACAATATGGTAAATTTTGAAATAAACTCAAAAAAGCAAAAGCAGGTGGGGTATACTAAAACATATAATTTTAAAAAAGCCAATTTCAATAAGATTAGGGCAGCTCTACAACATATCGACTGGCATAAACTCCTTAGTGATAAAAACACTGAGGATAAATGGAAACTATTCAAACATATATTAGAAAGGTACATTTCTCAGTATGTACCATTGGGTAATAAATATAAAAGAAACAAATTAAAACCAATGTGGCTTAGTAGAGAAGTAAAACAAGAGATTAAAAATAAGAAAAGGGCATTTAAAGCATTTAAATCAGACAAATCAAAGGCATCCTATTTAAGATATAAGGAAGCCAATAACACTTGCAAAAAGGCAATTAAAGTGGCTAAACTAGAAAATGAGAAATTGATAGCTAAAGAATGCAAAACCAACCCCAAAAATTTTTTCAAGTACATCAATTCTAAAAAAACAAAAAATGAAAGTGTAGGTACACTTGAAACAGAGTTGGGTTTATTAGCTAATGAAGACCAGGAAAAAGCAGAAATTTTAAATAACTATTTTTCTTCAGTATATATTAATGAGGATCCTATGGCAAGAGATATGCAAATGTTTGCTGCAAAAAACTTGCAAATAACTTGTGACTGGATAACTCGAGACAAGGTGCTACAGCTATTAAAGAAAATTAATGTAAATAAAACTCAGGGGCCTGACTGTATTCACCCACGAGTACTTAAGGAGCTAAGTGGGGAAATAAGTGAACCTCTGTATTTAATTTTTCAAGATTCTTTTGTTTCAGGTGTTGTACCGGAGGATTGGAGGAAGGCAGATGTTGTTCCTATATTTAAAAAGGGTTCAAAATCCTTGCCTGGAAATTATAGACCTGTGAGCTTAACTTCAGTAACTGGGAAAATATTTGAAGGGCTATTAAGGGATAATATTCAGGAATTCATTGGGAAGAACTTTGTTATTAGCAATAATCAGCATGGTTTTATGAAACATAGGTCATGTCAAACTAACCTAATTGCATTCTACGAAGAAGTAAGTAGAAGTATAGATCTGGGTGTTGCAGTGGATGTGATCTACTTGGACTTTGCCAAGGCATTTGATACGGTTCCTCACAATAGGTTAGTCTTCAAACTAAAAGAAATTGGTCTAGATGAATATTCCTGTTCTTGGGTAGAACATTGGCTTAAGGACAGAGTACAACGAGTTGTAATTAATGGTAAATTTTCAGGCTGGACAAAAGTGGTAAGTGGTGTCCCTCAGGGTTCTGTTTTGGGACCACTTCTATTTAACATATTTATAAATGATCTTGAAATAGGCATTGAAAGCCATGTATCAGTGTTTGCAGATGACACAAAACTTTGTAAAGTAATAAAATGTGAGCAGGATATTGCTTTGTTGCAGAGAGATTTGGATACATTGGGGGACTGGGCACTAAAATGGCAGATGAAATTTAACATCGAGAAATGCAAAGTTATGCACTTCGGGGTTAAGAATGCACAAGCAACTTACACACTAAATGGTAGTAAATTAGGGATAACCACACACGAGAAGGATTTGGGCATTGTTATAGACAACAAATTAGGCAGCAATATGCAATGTCAATCTGCAGTTGCTAAGGCCAGTAAGATTTTGTCATGTATAAATAGGGGCATAAATTCTCGGGATGAAAATATAATTTTGCCTCTTTATAAATCGCTGGTAAGACCACACCTTGAATATGCTGTGCAATTTTGGGCGCCTGTTCTAAAGAAGGATATCATGGCACTGGAGAGGGTCCAGAGACGAGCTACAAAATTGATAAAAGGAATGGAGCATTTTAGTTATGAAGAAAGGTTACAAAAATTAAATCTGTTTCGTTTGGAAAAACGGCGCCTGAGAGGGGATATGATAACTTTATACAAATATATTCGGGGCCAGTACAAACCTTTATCTGGAAATCTATTCATAAACAGGGTTATACATAGGACACGAGGTCACACATTTAGGCTGGAAGAAAGGAGATTTCATCTAAGGCAAAGAAAAGGTTTTTTTACAGTAAGAACAATAAGGATATGGAATTCTCTGCCTGAAGAGGTGGTTTTGTCAGAGTCCATACAGATGTTTAAACTGAAATTGGATAAATACTTACAAAAACATAACATACAGGGATATAATTTCTAATTAGTGGGGTAATAGCTGATTGATCCAAGGAGACATCTGACTGCTATTTTGGGGTCAAGAAGGAATTTTTTCCTAGTTTGTGGCAAAATTGGAAGTGCTTCAGACCAGGTTTTTTGCCTTCTTTTGGATCAACAGCAACAACATTTCTGAGGAAGGCTGAACTTGATGGACGCAAGTCTCTTTTCAGCTATGTAACTATGTAACTATGCACAGTACACAGTACACAGATAACTTTTATGGGCCACACACTGACCAAATGAGATTCTTGGAATCCCTATTCCAAAGACTCGACAAATGGAAATTTGGGGATGTAACTATCGGAGTAGATTCTAACTTTATACTGGATGACCTTATGGATGTTACATCCACGGGAGAAGTTACCAATCCCACAAAACTACACAGTAGCTGAATCAAATAGCTGAAGCTGAATCATATAGTTTTGACACAGGGTCATATAACTCCATGGAGGGTGGATCATTGTATGGAGAAGGACTACACATTCCACTCACTTACCCACAATTCATACTCCTGGATAGACTGGTTCCTCCTACATAGATCGTTGGTTACCAGGATGAGCGAAACTAAAATAGGTCTCATCTCATGGTCGGACCACTCACAGATCGTGATGAAAAAGGGGAAACAATTATCTAATAACGGCAAGGGCTCTTGGCGTTTGAATGAGCACATCCTCACAAGCCCGCAAGTACTTGAAGACGTTCGTAATGAACCGAATCTGTAGTTTGAGGCTAAAAAGTTGCCAGGTACTGATCCAACTTTGCTATGGTTAGCGCATAAAGCGTATGTAAGGGGAGTACTCATAAAACATGCAAGTCACTCCAAGGCTCAGAGGCTTAAGGCATACCTAGACCTTAGAAAAAGGCTAGCGGAACTGTCCATATTGTACAAATCAACCCCTTGCCCCCAACAAGCATTAGATATCAAAGACATCAAACGCCAGCTCAATGACCTGGAAACAGCCAAAACCTAATTTTTACTTCGTAGATTTAAACAGCGTTACTTCGAACTTGGCGACAGGGCAGGAGCCCTATTGGCTTTCCAATTAAAAAAGTGGCAGTGTCTACCCCTACTTATACCCAAGCTACTCCGGAAATAAATTCCACCTTTCACTAAGACAGGTTACACTACTTAATTAGGGTTTAGCATCCTGCTTTTCTAACATACCATGCAACAGTCATCAGTCCTGATCTTTCTCACGCTAGCACACCAAGTCTAAACCTAGGTATACATGGACTAGGCATGCTCCTATACCACATCCTGTAAACACTACACTATGCCTACTAATTGTTTTAAAATACAAAAATTGTGCAGATCCTCTATTTGCCATGTCTGAAAATCTATGTAAATGTTGAGCCGGCGATTGCTGTTGTGGCAACCCAGGCCTGTCAGTCGCATACTATAAAACTTTCCAAAATCAGATAGACATCCACTTAGTAGACTTATTCAACCAGAGCTGGGTGCGGACTCGGTCGAGGGCCTTCTCTTAGTACTGGACATGGACGAGGCCTTCGACAGACTCAACTGGCATTACATGAGGGAGGTGTTGGGACGATTCGGATTTCCACAACAATTCATAACGGCGATAATGGCTCTGTACACATGCCCATCGCCCAGTGTTTCTAACGCAGGGTTCATATCTCCTGATAAAAAGGGCTAGAGTAGCAGGAGACACCTTACAGAGGCCTTACCTGGAAGGGGGCATGTGAGTCCCCCAGGTGTTGGCATACTATAAAGCAGCTCTGATGGCACAGGCCATCAACCTTCATGAACCCGATGGGGTGTTGAGTTGGGTGGACATGGAACGAGAGCAGAGGCAGGGAGACTTGTTGCTGTCGCATGTGGACGCATGTGGACCCCAACATCCATGCGAGCTGGGACACCCCCAATATACCTGACCACACAGGTGACCATTTCCATATGGGACACATTTCAGAACAGAGCACACTCACCAAATTCCACAGGATTTCACCACTGACTGCACTGAGAGTGATATCTCCATGGATATCCATACGTCAATAGGAGGATGGAGAGATTAGGAGCCTTTCACAATTTATTTCTGGAGGGGCATTGGTCCCCTTTCCTGTCTTGCAGGAAACATTTCAATTGCCCTCACACTTTACATTTTTATACCCATGAATCAAAAGTGTACTAATTGAATATGTTGACTATGACAGGGATTTCACCGGGGATGATACCTGGGGATTTCCAGCGCCTACTGGCCTTTTGCTGGTCTACCCCGTTGAGGCCCAAACTCCTTTCCTTCTGCTATAGAGCCCAATTAGCCGCCAAGACTGAGACCCCCATGGCCCTTGTAGCACAATTGGAAAGAGACACGGGGAAAGCAGTTCCACAGAACATATGGCTTAAAAGATTGAATGCATTGAGGGGCATTACCGGATGTTTCTCACATATAGAAGCACACCGTAAGCTTATATACCGCTGGTACCTCACACCATGCAGACTAAGCCATATCTATAAAACTGCCCCATGCGGTTTGGCCAGGGGCAGCATGTCTAGTGGGACTGTAGCGGGATAAAACCACGCTGGTCCACGGTACAGACCCCATAGGATCGCTACTTTACACTAACAATGATGTGGCTACCATAGAGATCCACATTTGACATCTGCGGTCAGCATGCCGCAGGCTTCTATCTGTGTGTCCAGTGCTCAGACAGAAGTATTGAATTAGAAGACTGCCACTTATCTGCCATATTTCTTCTGTTGTTTTCTATGAGAAGAATCTGAGTGGATATGGATCATCAAGCTTGATGATCTTAATGGAAAATGTGTAAGAAGTGTATCCCGGTGCTGGATTACAGGTGTTCCTTTAACATCATGACAATATATTAACCAACTCCAGGACTGTTTAGTTAAAAATAGATGTCAATCTGTGTTTTTTATTGTATAATAATCTTGAAATACTTTCATAAACAACTTTCTTTTACAATGGAAATAACAAATATAAGGCTATTTGAGCATTGTACAATAACAATGAACATTAACATTTCACATGATCAGTGCACACAGGGATTACCCTGATTTCCATAGTCTAAGAACATCAGCAAAATTAGTGATTTAATTGATTAGTCTCTTCCATATAGGTGCATATATATGATGGGTAGGTTGAAGAAATTCTCTAATGGCTCATCACTTATTTCCACATTTTGGTTTTCACTTCGCAACTTCCAAAAAAAAACCATAAAACATTTCGCAGTTTGCGCTAGCCACGTTCAACAGAGCATCGGAAGTAATTCCACAGCTATCGGTCATTGTCAGTTTCCAGAACTACCAGTGTCACTCAGAGCCCAGCAAGTCATCTTTTTTTTTTTTTTTTTTAAGGAGTGAAATCACAGATGGTTTTGTTGCAAAGCAGACATGTCAGGAGTTTCCATGTGAATCATATTTCATTTATATCAGCGTGAGAAGGGCTTGCAAACCTCCCCATTGTTAGAAGAGCTGTAATGATAAGACAAAAGAGGTCTGATAGTTAGAAACAGATATGTATTGCTAGCTTGGCCACACTTCATCTGCTTCATTTAGAAATGCAAAAACACAGAAAATATATAAACTTTCTGTCCTGGTAGCACACAGATTGATTAAGTGTCCAGGTCTAAACCTGTCCTGCTAGTTAGAAAAAAAATCCCTGACTTCAAACGAAAGCTTTCTTTTTGTACATTCATTTTTTGGTGTTCTGTTGTAATAATGCTCACATATATTCTACTAGTTGCTACAAATTTGATATATGAACACTGTGGAATTATCCTGAAGTATTTTTTTTTTTTTTGGTAAGACCCCCTCTCCGCACATACCCTCTTTTTTTAACTCGTACCTGCTTCCATTTTTCTTTGAGTAATTTCTGGAAAAGCATATTTTCTGAGCTAGAATATAAGGGTGTATTGTACCATCTTTATCAACCATGCACAATGGGAGCATAAGGCCAAATCATGGGTGACAAGACCACATTATGATTTATCAGAATAACAAGCTAATGCGACACTCACAAAAGCCACAGAAAATTGACCTGCTGTGTATTAAATAAATAACACACCTGAGGTGAAAGCCATATTACACATGCCAGATGAAGAACTGGAATGGAGGCAAGTGTTTGGACATTATTAAATAGAGTCATAAGTCAGGGAACTTATGAGAAAGGAATATTATATCCTGGTATATAATCAACGTGTTGATATTGTAACTTCTTGGGTAACAAGTGGTTTTAGACTTCTTAAGTTTATGTTAAGAGAAATTGAATACTGGACATTGTTGGGTTTGTGAAAGAATGCTCTAACCTTGCGATGGCGAACCTTTAGCACACGTGCCACAGCTAGCACGCCAAACTCTCTATGTGGGCACACAGCCGTAGGTCCCCAGTAAGGTGCCTACGTGTCCGTTTGAGAGTCTGTCCTGGGTACCCTCATTCTGGGACAATGTAGTGGTAGACCGGGCCCCTTTAATGTTGCAGAGAGTGCTGGGAGGAAGTGACTGTTACTTGCTCCTAGCATACAGACCGCACGGGCTGACAGGACACTGAAGAAGCAACTGAGAGAGGAGGAGTCAGGAGAGAGAGCTCTGCAACTTCTCCTTCAGACTCCCATGATCATCAGCCAGCCCCAGGAGTTAACCACCCTGCAAACAAAAGGTATGGGAGCAGAGGATTGTTAACAAATGTAAATTGCAACTTGTGTGTTGGCCCATGTGTATTTTTAGGTACGTGTATGTGTGTATCTGTGTATGTCAGTGAGTATCTGTGAGTGTGTGTGTGTATCTGTGAGTATGTGGGTGTCAGTGTGTGTGTATCTGTGAGTGTCAATGTGTATATGTGAGTGTGTGTGTGTATCTGTGAGTGTCTGTGTATCTGTGAGTATGTGGGTGTCAGTGTGTGTGTATCTGTGAGTGTCAATGTGTATATGTGAGTGTCAGTGTGTATGTGTGATTATGTATGTGTCTAAGTAGCCAGTTAATGTTCAATAAAAAAGTTTGTATCATTAAACTCTGTTGTTGTGTTCTTCTTTTAAAACAAAAGATGTTAATTAGTTCGGACAACTGTATGAGTTGTTTTTTCCAAACTTAAACCTCAGTATTCAGGTTTAATTGCTGTGTTGGCACTTTGTGGAAAAAAAGTTGCCCATGGCCCCCCTACATCATGCAGTGCCCCCCCCCCCCAATTGAAATTGAAGCCGGGAGCACAGAGTCTCCATACACAAGCTGCAGAAACAGTGCACAGAGGTGGATGGAATTGGGTTTATGAGTCAGTCTGTCTGTGCAGGGGTTAGTCTGTGTGTGGGGGGTCAGTTTGCGTATGTCTGGGGTCAGTATGTGTGTTTATTGGTCAGTCTATCTGTGGGGGGGTCAGTCTGTGTGTGGGCGGTCAGTTCATGTATGTATGGGGTCAGTTTGTGTGTGTGTGTGTGTGTATGGGTCAGTCTGTGTAGGGAGGGGGGATCAGTCTGTGTGTCTATGGGTCAGTCTGTGTAGGGGGGACAGTATGTGTGTTTATATGGGTCAGTTTGTGTGGGGGGACAGCCTCTGTGTGTGTGTGTGTGTGTGTGTGTGTGTATGGGGGGGTGGGCAGTCAGTGTGTGTCTGTAGGGGGGGCAGTCAGTGTGTGTGTATGGGTCAGTCTGTGTGTGTATTGTTCAGTCTGTGTGTATGGGTCAGTCTGTGTGTGAGGGTTCAGTTTCTGTGTGTATGGGTCAGTCTGTGTGTGTGTATTGATTGGTCAGTCTGTTTGTGGGGGGGGGTCAGTCTGTGTGTGTGTGTGTGTATGGGTCACTCTGTGTGGAGGGGTGTCTGTGTGTGTATTGGTCAGTCTGTGTGTGTATGGATCAGTCTCTGTGTGTGGGGGGTCAGTCTGTGTATGTATGGGGTCAGTCTGTGTGGGGGGGCAGTCAGTGTGTGTGTGTCTGTATGGGTCAGTCTATGTGGGGGCAGTCTGTGTGTATTGGTCAATCTGTGTGTGTATTTGTCAGTCTGTGTGTGTGGGGGGTCAATCTTTGTGTGTGGGGGTCAGTCTGGGTGGGGGGCAGTCTGGTGGGTGTATATGGGCCAGTCTGTGGGTTTGTATGGGTCAGTCTGTGTAAGTGCCTGAGCTCCAAGGGAGATACCTCTCACCTCATGACCTCCCCTGTACCTGATGGATAGGCAGGCTTCCCAACCACAACGGAGCTGATTGTGCCACCCCCTCCCTGCAAGGTAAGTTTAGGGAAAGGGGAATATTTTTTTTTTTTTTTACTCTTATTAAAGAACACAGTACACCCGCACAGACTGTGAACCCCCCACATACAGTACACTCCCACCCACACAGAGTACACCTTTGCATTCACACACAGTGCACCCCTCACACACTTCATCCCCATGTACATTCACCCACACACACACATACTTCACCCCATTTACACACCGAATCATACACACATACACATCCCATTACAGCTCCTTGATAAGCACACAATGCAACCCCAATACACATGCACTCACACACACACACACAGCATGTGCTCACACTACAGTCCCTAGTTACACACAGTACACCATAAACAGACTCATATATATATATATATATATATATATATATATATATATATATATACACTAAACCACAGCCACTTCTAAACACCATGGAAAATTATCTTTAAATGAGAAAGCTTAGGAAACAGAGGGCCTATATCTAGCACTAACTGATTATTAATAACAGTTGGAGCAATCATTGGGTGCACACCACTCCCATCAGCGGGTCTCAGCGGCCCTTGGATGGCAGTGCCGCCGCTTTACTCTGCTGCTTGGGGTAAAATAGCTGGATGCTATCCACGTCCCATGAAGGAGAGTTGCCAGAGGTGATTGCTTCAAGTCTCGGTGCGATGTCAGGTACAGGTATGTCCAGTGCCTTGAGAAATCGCTCTGCTTTAGAGAGCTGTGTGAGGTGAATGCGCTTCTCGTTATGCTGCACTGACAGCTTTCTTCCCGGTCCCCAGCGGTATCTGACACCTTCATCAGCATCTTAGTGACCTGTTGCAGGGAGTTTCTCCAGAGCATTGTGGACCTAGAAAGATCATTAAAGAAGGAGAGGTCTGAGCTTTCAAAATGACAGGTAGGTGAGTAACGACTGGTAGTTTGTATTCGCTGTTTGCTCTGGAGTGACTGGAAGCATAGCAACAAGTCTCGTGGGGCCCCAGTCGAGGCCATGGGTGACTTAGGGACCCAGTAGTAGTGGTCTAATTGCATGGCTTTGGCTCTGGAAGGGGAGAGCATAGCGCTTAATAGCCTACGAAGGTAGTGTAATACCTCCACCTCTGATATCTTTAGGGACTCCACAGAGCCTCAGATTTTGCTGACGCTTTGCATCCTCTAGCACAGTTATTTTGCCCTCCATAGTGAGGGTGATCTGCTTCAACTGATCAATGTCAGCCGTCAGTTCCTCCTGTTTGTCTGTGGAGGTGCTCCTCTCATCCTCCAGGGGCTGCAGCCCCCATGTCCCCATGTCTTGGCGGACTATTGCTATGTCAGCTGAAAAGTGCAGCTTCATCTCAGCCAGCATGTTCTGGATGTCGGCCTTACTGGCAGGTATGTTCTTCGGACAAGATACAGTGCTGGCCCACGTGATTACAAAGTCTGTCTCTGTGTGAGGAGGTCTCTTGCTGTGTACAACTCGCCCGGCAGAGTATTGAGAGCCACCCTGTTCGCTCTCCTCCAAGCCGGAATCAGAGTAATCCTGCACGGATTACTCACACCGCAGTAGCGGTGTGACTCGGAGCAGAGCACCGATATCCTTAGTGGAAGAGGTTGCTTCAGTTTTGCGGAGTTTGGTTTTCTTCCCCATCACATCCACTTGATTTAGGGTAAGTTTGGGGTGCTGTAGGTATAATTAGGATGTCAATTAGCGTTTCACTCTCGGGAGCTCTAGGCATCTACGTCCGTTCAGGTCAGCTCTGCCCCTCTTCTATGGGGACTTCTGGCTTTGCATTAAACATGTTTGAAATACAGTTCATTGCTACTAAATGTACAAGTATATGCTGGCCTGAGAAAAAAAGCCCCTTCCACAAGGACCAGCACTGTAATTTATTAATATGGCAAGTTTTTGCATGGATCAACAATGATGACCATCCCCACCTCTCTCTTACAGGTAATCAGAACACAGAACACTGAAAAGAATCACAGGGATTAAAGGCCCAAATTACATAATAGATATACCTCACATAAAAACAAGAATGCATTAAATTATGCATTTTATCATTGGCGTTATATTTAAAAATGGCTTGCAAAAGCTGCACTTTCTCTACCTTTGAAAACTAGGATAATCAACCAGTATAGATATGAGTATTCCCAACATGCCATGAAGTTATAGTATTCTCATTCAAGTTGTTATTGTGTAAGAAATTATGACCCTCTTACAAGGATATTCTTTTAGGGAATGTGTGACCAATAAGACACAAACACAAGTGTATAATAAAATGTATTATAAATATTAATTTAAGGATACTGTTAGATTTTAAAAGGATATATACTTTACAGATTATACATTATATCCATTACATAATCAAAAGATGCATAATAAATGGACAATACTTAAACATTGAAATGCAGGTCTTCCCCTTGCGCCTTCATCTTGGGTAATCTGGGACAGCCTCTCTCAGTTCACCATGGCCCTGCTTACGCTGTCCTCTCCAAAGAGACAGAGAAAGAGAGCAAGAGACTTCTTTGGATGTTGTCCTTTTAAAGACTGATTCTTGGAGTAATAAACTACAAGTCCCAGAATCCCTTTTCCCTCCCAAAAGTGGTTAATCCTGCCCTCTTTTTCCAGAGAGTTCTGTCTTTCCTTTTTATCTCTTTCCTCCAGCTATACTGTAACATTGTGAAAGAAGTGACCAGTTAGGGTTGGTTTCTGGTAGATTGGACAGCTTGGGAAAACACACACTTCCATGGTTACACCTAGATGTTTATTACTCTGATCTCCTGATAACATACAAGGAATAGTGGAGGGATGTAAGCTTTTGTTTTAGCTGGGTGCTGTAAAATGCAACTGAAAGCTTTGATCCTTATCACACTGTTATCAAGTAAATGACCCCAACTTGTGAAACCAGTCGCATACACAGAAAGTTATATACAATATTGCAGTTTAAAACCAGAACAATGAGTAAGCGCTGAATAACACAATTTAGCAGCAACCCTATAAGGGAATCCCTCAAAAAACCCTTAGAATAAAACACAAAGAATACAAGGAAAGGGCTGCGCTTAAAAAATACTTTATAAGGTTATAAAAGTCCAGATAAAATCAATAAAAAAGGAAGAGGATCTTATCTTGCAATGTCCGTAGTGATTTGGTCCGGAGCAATAATATTGCTTTCTATCTTCCTTATGGGCAGTCTCGTATGTAAGAGATGAAAACAGATACAGAACCCAAATAGTGTAGTATATCTTAATAGTAAGGAAATTAAAATATAAGACTTAAATGCAAACTCACATTTCCAAGAGCTAGAACCTGCTCTGGTGTAATGGGCGTACAGCGGTTTAAATCCCCGCTTATGGGATATGGAGTGCTTATCCTTCACGTGCCTCCTCCTTCCGTAGTGTGGGAGATACTCAAATAAAAAGAGACAACTAATAGTGCTCTCTGCATAAAACTTAAAATAGAGTATAGAATAAAAGTAGATACTCACAAGACAGGAGCAGGTCAACTGCTCCTGATATATCGCGTTGGTGGAATAATCCCCACCTAGGATTGCTTGGAGTCCAACGAATAATGCCAGGTAATAATAATAAATATATGTGTATAAAAAGATAAGTGGTACAATAAAAGATTACCAAATATACTTTAATTATAACATTACACAATACACAATATACCAAATATACTTTAATTATAACATTACACAATATATAAATATATATATTGTGTAATGTTATAATTAAAGTATATTTGGTAATCTTTTATTGTACCACTTATCTTTTTATACACATATATTTATTATTATTACCTGGCATTATTCGTTGGACTCCAAGCAATCCTAGGTGGGGATTATTCCACCAACGCGATATATCAGGAGCAGTTGACCTGCTCCTGTCTTGTGAGTATCTACTTTTATTCTATACTCTATTTTAAGTTTTATGCAGAGAGCACTATAAGTTGTCTCTTTTTATTTGAGTATCTCCCACACTACGGAAGGAGGAGGCACGTGAAGGATAAGCACTCCATATCCCATAAGCGGGGATTTAAACCGCTGTACGCCCATTACACCAGAGCAGGTTCTAGCTCTTGGAAATGTGACTATTTCTTACAATTGGATCATTCTTTACTGATGCTAGGGCCAGTGGAGGAAACAAAGGGGCAGTGCAGACAGGAACCAAAAAGACAACATAGGACTTAAAATGTTTAAAAGCCTTTGGCTGACTAAGCTTTCAGTTTGATTATAGTATAAGTTATCTGGAGTGACTGATTATATACTGCAGTTTGTTTTTTACATCCTTATCCTGCTTCAATGTTTGAGCAGAAGTTGCAAGACTTGCTTAATATAAGATTTTATTTTAGGTTAGTAGTCTATACCACATATCTTTCTGACAAAGTTTACACAGTTTGCTTTCAAACATATCAGATTGTCTTTTGAAGACAATTCAAGCCCACAACATCCAAAAATCCATGGCAGAGTAGGAGTTGATATTACAAACAAACTCTCCAAATGACTTTACAGATCTTTCTGACTTGCAATATACCTCAACAAAAGCTGTTCCCCAGTTAACTTATGATTTAAGGATTCCAGCAGAAATGCAGTTTAGTCTTTCTTTGCCATTATTCATGACAGAAAAATAAAAGAATATGTTGATAAGCATCATTTTCAGCACACATTCAGTACAGAATGTGAAAAGCCTTCCTCTTAAAGAGCCTGATTTTACCATTTTTATTGATATTCGGTGCTGACTTGCTTAATGAGTGATCAAATATTAAAAGCATTCTACTGCAGTACATGTTTTGCTTTTTACTCATGCACATTGCTACTTGGCTATCAATAAGCAAAACAAAAATAATAAAATCATTGTGATTATGTCAGTGTCTATTTCACTATATAAAAAAGCAAGGGACCACTTATTTAAAGATGAGCAATGTACATCCAAAAGAATGGAGGAGATAACATTTAAAATCTCAAGCTCATTGGTTCATTATTTTATATTGTGAAATTGCTGGAGTAACAGGGGTTACCATTTCATGCCCATGGACTTACTAGTCAACGTACAATTAAAAAATAATTAATTCTTTCACACTGTAATGTTACACTTAAATATCCTTTTGATAAAAAAAAAGACTGTAGGTTTTGGCAAGATGTATGCCTTTAAAATAATAATGCTCCCTGACCATGAGAATCCCATGCCCCTCCAGTCCTCAGGTTTCTGTTAATCTCTTTTAGTAAACGTAGACAACTGGCTTCCACTAAATCTTTTAAGTCAGGGGTTAGAGCTATTCCAAAGTGTTTCAAACTCTCTTTCTCATTTACAAATCCCACACTTTTTGGTGAGAATGCCTATAGAGTGCTTACTCGTATTCTGAGCTATGAACACTGACTTATCTAAATTAAATTGATATCCTGAGACTCTGGCACTGTTATCTATTTGTTTAAATAATTTCGAGATGGATATATTGGTTTCTTCCAAGGTCAGCATGATATCTGCTAGGAAAGATGTAAAACAAAAGAAAAGCCTGCGCCACCCATCTAGAAATAGCTTTTAATACAAACTAATGCCCGGCAGTATAGACTTTGCCTATACCACTAATTGTGGGGAATAATGAACAAGTGATCAGACAATACAACTTTTAAAATTAATTATTAAAATTATTATAAAAGGGTTTGCTAACCATATGGTGTCCAAACATTTCCAAATACACAATAATAATCCTAAATTTCAGAAATTTTACGCTATCGATGTCTGCACTTTACCATGGAGAGGTGACAATTTTACAAAAATCATTGGGCAGTGTGAAATGAAATGGGTCTTTTACCTAAAAACTTTAATTCCCACCGGGCTCAATTCAGACTTTGATCTGTACAATTTTTTATAGCCCCCTTTTTAATTATTATTTTTTAATTATTTTTAATTATTTTTCATCTCATCATTTCCTCTGCCATTGATTTTTTTAAATGTTCTTATGCCTATAACTCATTGTTAATGATTTATGTGTTGTTGTAAATTTAATTTAATTTAAAATTTTTATTATTTTTTATGTGAATTACACATTTATTAGTTTTCAAGACTGTATTATTTAGATTTGTCAATATATGAAGCATATTTTTAAACTTGTATTGGTATTTACAAATATGCTCTTATATTCAGTTAAAACAATGTACTCCATTTTTTGTATTATTCTGGTCCTTTTAACACTGTTATTTTATTTATTATTTTTATCTAATATTGTCTTTGCATAGACCATATTACTATTATTTTTTGAAGTTGTTTTAGTGTTTTATCTTTTATTTTTATTTTATGTCTATAGAGGGAGCTATTGCTCCTCTTATTTTCGTATGTGTTATTACAGTTTTTGCCTGTAGAGGGAGCTACTGTCCCTTTTATCTTTGTGATACAAATTACTTGTCCACCATTTTTTCGGATCCCCAGCTTATCCAGGCAGTTGCCATTTTGTTGGAGCCAAAAGAGAAAATAAAGAAAAAAAAATGAATTGGTCATGTGACTATGATGTCACAAAACCATTATTTTCAAAATCCTAACCCTATTTAAGCAGCTCAGGTCCCATTTACTCTGTAAAACACTTTTGATAAAGCCTATCTAAGGAGAAACGCGTTAAGTGTATTGTTTATAACTTTTTTCATCTCTATT